TATGATGTCGCGCTCCTATCGCACAGCAATACTGTAGCCTACCCATACTGTCAAATATTTGTAATATCTACAGGTCTATTTACTTTCGAGCATGGTTGGCAATTGAATGTTAAGACAGTACGCATTTTTCCCTGGTTTTTTAGTCCGGCCCCCCATTAAATCAAGTTAAGGAGGAAACCGATGCCTTTGCAGCCTGAATGGAGGATGTTTTTATGTACGAACTGGACGCGGGGGGTTAGGAGTGTATTGCCGGCTACGCACAAGGCCAGACGACGTAAATCTTGGCGGAACCGTTGGGTTTGGCGGAACCGTTGGGGCTAGTAGACAGCTGTACAAAACACAAGTTACACACACATTTTAAAACACAGAGACACATTTTATGATTAAAAACCAGACAGGATTTAGTTAAAAATGTTACATTTAAAGAAACTGCGTTGGTAGACAAAATTCCAAAATATAAAATAAATAAAAAGCAAAAGGACAATCAGACAAAAAGTTGTTTCAGTTTCCAAAGTTCTCCAGTCTCCATTGACAATAATCACATTTGACATTAATACTGTTGATAAATTAATACATTTAAAATAACTGTTAATAGTTGACATTTTCAGTACGTCTAAATGTGGGTAGCCTACACGTGTGTATGTTTATAAATGCATGCAGGGGTTACAGATTAACTATTCAAATGATCCGCTCTTCATTTTGCATGTAGAGTTTTAGTTTGAGTTGATACTAAATCCAAGGTTGGTGTCTGCAGTTTTGTTCAGTTTTCATTAGAGACTTAGAGTGTATGTTAATTTGAGGTTAACTTTAAGCTAGTCATTTTTTTTGCTAGGCCTACTGTTAAATTGACATGACAGGATACAAAAACATAAAAACTAAACATGATTAGAGAATACTTCTAGTTGCAGACCCACTGTTCCACACAATAAATCTACAGCTAACACAGAGCCATGATTTCCCTCTGCTCTCCAACCATGCACCATATACACATTGCACTAACACAGAGGTCAGACAAATTCCAGTACACAACATAATCTCTAGTACAATGCATGCTCTCATATTTTTACGTGCCAGAATGAGAGTATTATTTTGCAGATTTTTTAAAATTGCACAAATATCTGAATAGTGCAGTGATAGGAGAACACTTTCTTTTTTTGCAATGATCGTTTTTATCTGAATAAAAAGTTCCTTTTCAAAATCAGATGAATCAAGTATAAACAAATAAATGTCAAAATGAGACATTTGGGTTCACTGAAAGTAAAAATAAGTGCTTCAAAAGTGAATGCAAACAATACAATAAAACAACTGTCAGTATAATTATCATGGGATCAAAATACACAGCATCAATTGCCTTAAACATGCAATTCAAGAGAGAAAGCCAAATAAACGTGGCTTATGCAGTCTTGCCGTTTTTCCAAAAGAAAAGTGCACTGCTGGTTTTTACTAAGATATACTGGGTCACTGCTTTGACTACAATTACTGTCTCCTTTTTTTCTGCATCGGTTGTGGGATAAACTTACAAAGCCAACCACACCCACAGTCTACACACATTTCGGGAAAGAAAACCGGAGGAATGCAGCGACAAACAAGCAGGCAAAGGTTCAGGAGCTACAGGGGTCAATAAGGGAGGCTTGGTTCAAAAGTATTGCACTACACATGAACAAACAGGCCCTAGTCTTGATGACAGAATAGACTCGGGGAAGGTCTATTCCAGGGGGCTTTTTCCTCTCACTGACTAATAATGGGAGATTGAACCAACCGAGGACCACACAACACGGGTCCCTCTGTGTCTCGTAGCTTTTCGTTTCCGATACGAGCCTCATAAGCCACAGGGGGGGGGGAACAACTGTGCACAACACAGGTCAAAGGCACAACACTGGACACGACAAAGGGAAATAGAACAACCTCTGGGAGCTTGAAAAAGGCCCAAAGAGGAGAAAAAGTGTCTATCAGACAGTCAAGTCAGGCATTCTTCTAGCAGCACAGTCTGTGCACTACTGCACTTTTGTCCCAGTTTAGTAGTAGAATTGCACAACATACACTCCAAGAAGAAAAAGAAAAGTCACCGCAACATAGTCAGAGCTCTAGTGCATGATAAAACAGTCATGGAGCATGACAACAGCACAGTAATTATTTGTGTGTGTTTTTAAGCCGAAAGCATTCTTAATCATGCTGATATAACAAATATTCATTATACACAGGAAAAGGTGTATTGATTTTGTGACGCCAGTGAAATAAAAATTGTGTGATATTGGTTACCTATGGGTTACTTATTTTAAGTACACAGTCAGATTGACAGAATAAATTGAACTTTTCAGAAGTATTACAAATGGGGTAATACCAGGATTTACTCCTGGGACAATGATATGTGTATAATAAGAGAAGTATACTCCAGACAAGCTCGTACCCATCACTGTTGGTTGGCACAAAGAGATGTGAAACTGTGAGAAACAAAGTATAATTTCCTTATTTTCCCCCAAATGTTAAAGTCAAAAAGCTGAAGTCACATCCATGCGGCACTTTCAATACCCAATGTTCCTGTGGTTATGTCTACTCTATAAAACGATCAAAAGTATGTATTTAAAATATTCATTTCAGCAAAGCTGTTACCTGAACATACACCAAGGTATGTAGCAGGCAAATGCAGAGTGAGTGACAATTGGTATGAAAATGAAAGGACGCCAGAGGGAAAAGGGGCTCTAGGCAACATACAGATGGATACAGGTCCAACAGTGTCACAGGACCACTGCAGTGGACACATACCATCTTTTGATGTCAAATAAAAGCTTTTTCAATAACCCGTCTCTTTTATCTCTGATTACAATTCTAAGATATGCAAGAGAACATAATAGTATATCTGCGAGAGGGATCATTTGAAAGGGTTATAAGTAACAAAAAATATACTTAGAAGTTGTGTCATTGAAAAACTGGGTCGCTGATCATAATTTCAATCATTGATGAATAGCAGAGGCCCTACATACACGAACTTACACCTTTGTCATTGGAGGAAACACCTCAGTAAAACTGGTTTAGAGGAGTGATATTTCCTCCCCCAATGGAATAGAACTCACCATACTACACAAATATATGACAACTATGAAACATACATTAATAACTACATCATTTGCATTCATTTTGTTCTCCATATAATTTCATTATATATAGATTTATATTCCTCACATGCCTGACAATTGTGTACGTGTGTGTGGTTTAGTCTTTTAAGTTGTGTGTTTTCTTTTGCACTGAAACATCCTTAGTACGGCTGTAAGAAAAGATGTGCCCTCCTGGTGACAAAGGACTTTGGCCCAAGCCAAAAAGAAAACGTGTGTGATGGATGCTCAGCAGTGGAAGTCACTGATGAACTATGGTGGGGTGGAGCCTCTGTTAGACAAGGGTCTGTCTCTTCCCACTATCGTCTGGTCTTATTAGGCAAGAGTTGCTGTGAGAGCAGGACTGACTGCACAAGAAGACCAAAAGAGAGATGCTATAGAACAGGGGTATTCAAATTTTACCCAACGAGGTCCGGACTACTGCTGGCTTTCTGTTCTACCTGATAATTAATTGCACCCACCTGGTGTCCCAGGTTTAAAATCAGTCCCTGATTAGAGGGGAATAATTTATTTTAAAAGCAGTGGAACTGGCTTTGAGGTCCAGATTTGAATTTGAGGGCTGTAGAAGATTCCTGTGACTTTCAGCCTCCCAAGCGACTATGAACTGCCTTAGCGCTCCAGCTGTGGAGATGTAAGGACTAGGAGTGGAGGTCAGAGGGTGGGCTATGTTGCTAACAGCATCCTCTCACCCCATAGGTGAATTTTGTAGGAGGGGCAGGTCACAGTCAGTAGATTTTTCTGCATTCTTTTTTTGTCCTTTGAAAGTCCTGAGGAGATGATCACAGATTTCTGCCGAGTCGACATAGCCAGAAAAGGAAACGGCTCCCCATTAACTGTGTGATCACCTGAATGAGGACGGTGACAATGATTTAGCTCTGTGTAAAGGTACTATGGGCAAGATGAGGGCTAAGATCAGGGGCAAAACCTGAATCTTCAAAATCCAACTTATGACAACAGGTATTACATGTACTAATACTCTATTGTCATCTCTTCAGAATCCCTCAAATGTTCACGAATATAACTGAGAATAAGAAATGACGATGGGGTTATGTTGCAGCACTGTAGGTGAGGAGGATGGAAACCCCCCACTGTGGAAAGGCACACCCAGAGGAGGGGGAGGTGAAGGGGGATGTGGGGTTGGTGGTGGAAGGGGTGAAGATATGGACCATGGCTGAGGTGGTGCAGGAGACATCAGGAAATGTTCACATGAGCTGAGAAGGGTGAGCTCAGGCCTGGGAGTCTCTTCACATCCGTGAACCTCTCTCCTGGAGGATCTGTAGGGAGAGAAAATGTGTCAGTCTAGATCAAGGAACAGTATATGCCTCAATCCAAAATGAGTGGGAGAGATAGGCACTGGCTAATCTCTCGTGGGCAGACGTACGTAATATAAATGGTATCGTAGCATCTGACTGTGGGATGCGACGACTAACGAGGAACTTTGTTCCGGTGCTCAGGTGTTTGTCACTGATCATTTGGACAAATCACAATTTCGCAGGTGTTTGCATCTTTCTAATTTAGAAAGGAGACGTGCTCATAGACTTGCAGAGGGGGGTGGAGCTACGGGTCTGCTTCCATTCCTTGTTCTTGTATATTTTTCTAACACATCTGCCCCCAGAACCTAATCGAGCATCTGACATAATTACGCAAGACTTTAGTTCTGGGTTTCCGAGATTAAGCACCGGCTAATTTCATGATTTTATTCAGGGCCTACCTTTCCCATTCATTTAAAGTTGAAGGAAACAGTAAAGCTCAACCTACACATTAGACCACTTTTGAAGTCTGAAATGCCTGACAAACTTTGATGTTGCAGTAAACTATCCCTACAAGCGAGAATCTTCTGACTTCATGCCTAGCACATGAGTGACAGACACTCTCAACTGCTGATCTCACCTTGGCCTTCTCAGTGGGCTCGATAACAATGCCATTAGTGGAGTTGTTGAGCTCCCGGGAAACCACACACAGGAATTCAGCCTGGTCCTCGTTGCCATAGTTATAGGATGAGCCAATGCTTATGAGCTGTGAGGGGAAATGGGAAAAGGTAGGTGGGATTGTAAATTAGCTTAAAAGTAATCTTCACATGACATTTTAGGCATAGTTTGAAATTTCAAAATAACATTTTAAGGCATTGGAAAAAGGGAGGCACATTACCAGATTTACCACCAATGACCTATGGATTTCAAGACAAGTGTGACATGACTATTAGGCCCACCTGCTCAAACTTCCAGCCGTCTGACATGGTGGACACCATCTGGGTGAGCTCCTCCTCCTGGCACTGCAGCACCCGGTACACATGCTTCACTGGGCCCTGAGAGAAAAACAGATACTACAATAAAAGCCCCTGTACACATTTGGGTTAACTTGCCAGTAAATGTTTTGCTTTTGAACAGTGCCATGTGTGTGCGTGTTCCAGTATACACACTAACAGACTTGTAAACACACTCATCCTCTGACATTGTAGTGTTTGGTTTAGCATGTGTTATTTCACAACATCAATGTCATCATCCATCCCGGTCCAAGGCCCTTCCATTCATCATGTCTGCGTTTCCCTGACATACCTGAGATGTCCTGTTCTCGTTGTCCCGTATCCTCTCCTTGACCAGCCTTACTAGTGACACAATATTGTAGAACTCCGCCTCTTCAAGGACACCTGAGAGAGCCAACCAATAGTTTAGTCACATGATACTAACCATAGGGCAACGGCCTGTATCACACATCTGCAGAATCCCATTGCTTCTAAATAAAGCATGATGTGTGATAGGGGTTGTATTTTACACTTTGGGGACCATTTGTACAGTCTTACCTTCCTCTGCCAGGTTCTTGTCCATGATCAGTTTCCCATGCCGCAGGTAATTCAGAATGGGGCCAAAGTATGTGGGGTCCCTGTCGATCAGGTAAGCGCCTGTCTCATCCTACGAGATTTATAAAAGTGTGAAAATGCAAATCGCATGTCTGCTATTTGAGTGTCAGATAAAGGTTTCTCTGGTGCTTCATAAAATAATGCATTACTCTAAAATGGCTGAGCATTAAGCTTTGATGAGTGTTACAATTTTCTAACATTTTAGCTAGGCATTTTAAAGTGTTTGGGTGTCATCTCGTGCATGATGACAGTGGCAGTGCATTATGAATGTTACATTGATGCACCTTGATTGATGGTAGAACGTTATGCCAAAATTTTTTATAGATTATGTTACCTTATCAGAGTCCAAATCCGGATCTTCTTGACACAATCGGTACAGGAACGATTTGGGGTCCCTGCACAATGTCTGTTTGGTTGTGACAAAGTAGGTTCCACCAACATTTAGGCAAACCCAGCGGGATTCTGGCTTCTCGGCTGGCTCTGACGGGGAACTGAGGTTGCTCTTCATTGGAAACCCAAACACTGCTCTGCTAGTACTCGATACCCCAGGACTGATGGGCAAGCTACTCCGCGGTGAAACCATGATAGTCGGCGAAGCAGCCAGCCGAACAGAGCCTCGGACATCACGGTGCTCGGTTTGTTCTATAGTGCTAGTACCACTCTGCTCCACAACGTGCAATTCAGCCATATTTTCTTCGTCAAAAACCACCACTATTATTACACTGCAGGGTAACAATAATGCTTACCGATTTGTAAACACAAAGGGGCTCTTTTTCCCAACAAGGTGGCTGACATTAGGGCGTTGCTACACACATTCGATCATTTCCACACCTAAACGCTCTAAACAAGACATCGATATTTCTTAGTTTAAATATACTATATTTTTTTGACACATCGCTTGCAATCTTTTCCTAAAACAAATTGGTCATTCTTGTTTATTCAAACGTTAATCAGAAGAGGGCAATCCTTCCGGGTTGTAACGTCATTACTGTATACTTCCGCTGTCGTTTTTCCCTCCAAAATAAGAGTTAATGACTAAATATAATTGTTATTCTGTTTGCTGTCGGTCATACAATAGAGATTTAAAATGAAAAATGTGTTCTCTGTTAGTGATGTTGTAAATCTCCTTATATGAAGTACTTTTTATTAAAGGATTTTATATCTAAACTTTTATTGTGAAAAATCTGAGTACATGTTGTGTTGCCACAATTGGTTGCCACTTGCAGGTAGTTGGCGTGGCAGTAACTGCTTGTAGTCAACAGAGGCTTCAGGTAATGTGCTACACAGCTAGCTAGCGATCAATGTTGCATGCTTTTAATCATGCTGCCTTTGCTAAGATTCCGTGTATTAGCTAACCATGGAGCTAGATAGTTAACAGCTCTATTTTCAGACCCTACTTTAACTTAGCTAGCTAGCTAACGTTAGCTTGCTTGCTAACATTGGCTGGCTAGTTAACTAGCTCTGCCAAATTGTGCCAATTTGAAGACCAGCAATAAACTAGATTCATAGCTAGTTATGGAAATTGCCATTATTCCCGAGAGCATTATAAAGCTAACTAGCAATGTGGCCTAGACAGTGTTTCCCAACCTTTTTCGGTTTCTGTACCACCAACTGAATTTTTCTCAGCCCGGCCGTAGTACCCCTGAAGTACCCCAACATGTGCATTTTACCAGTATTCCTGTGGTCTCATGAGTCTTCTCAAGTGCCCCCTGCGGTTAGGCCACGTACCCACAGGGGTCCTAGTACCCCTAGTTGGGAACCACTGTACTAGGGCACCCACTAGAACCTGAAACAACACCAGTTTTTGACCCTCTTGTCCCTATGCAGCCAGAGAAGTTGCAACATCAGGACCATAGTGGTAGATAGCAATTTACATTTGCATGCTTTAACTTTGAACTGCCCATTATGACATTATTAAACTGATTGGCTATTAGAGAGTTGGTTAACTTGAGAGGTTTGATTATTGACTATCACCACCTTTCTCATTTCAGCTGCCTGAGCCATGAGTGAGTTTCGGATACACCATGATGTCAACGAGCTGCTCAGTCTGCTTCATGTGCGAGGAGGTGATGGCGCAGAAGTGTTTATTGATCTGCTGCAGAAGAACAGGACACCTTACGTCACCACAACAGTGTCTACACACAGTGCAAAGGTGTTTAATGGGGAAGTTATTGGCAAATGTTTTATAGGTTTATGTTCTTCCTATGCGTTTCCTACAGATAACATTGATTAATTAAACTTTCATTCCCAGGTCAAAATAGCAGAGTATTCAAAGACGCCAGAGGACTTCCTAAGGAAATATGATGAGCTCAAGTCAAAAAATGTCCGCAACCTGGACCCACTGGTCTACCTCCTATCAAAGCTTAGTGAGGATAAAGAGGTAATCACTTACATTTCACATCTAATGTTGTTCAGATGCTGACAATAACTGCACTGTTCAAATGTCAAGTACAGTAGAGTATTGTGTTATGTCCCAATAACATTGTGTTGTGTGTTGATCTTCTCCAGATGCTCCAATGTCTGCAACAGAATGCCAAAGAAAGGTCTGAAGCATCTGCTAATGCGACAACAAGTACAACCTTTGCTATCCCTCCAACCAGCACCAAGATATCAATGCAGGAACTCGAAGAGCTGCGCAAGAAGCTGGGGAATGTCACTGCCAGCTCCAGTGTGCCCCAGGTGTGTACTCGCGTCATTTTAAGGTTACTTTTGATTAGGTTCAGGATATTTTTTTCCTGACCAGGAAAGGCCTGATGCCCTATTATAGTCTATTACATATGTTTTACTATTGCTAGAGTCTGGAGTTTTTCCTGGTCAAGTCATGTATTTAGGAAAACTCCTGGCCCGCGTATGACTACCTCAAGTGGGCCGGACCAAATTGTTTTGAAAAGGCTAGAGTTGAATACATCTCTAAGTAATACTACTTTTCCCCCATGTTTGCAGTCTGCTGAAGTCACACGAAAGATGCTGAGGGACAGACACAACAAAAAGAACCCCACTCAGCCCAACCCGGTGTTTCCCAACTGGGTGTATGACCGGCCTGCTCTGATTGGGGACTTCATCACCGGTGCCACACCAGCAGGAGGAGACCCAGCAGTGGCCATTGGTATGAATGCTCCTCATATCTCACTTTGACACATTTTGATAAACTTAATGAAATTCCTGCATAGTTTCACAGACTGAGTGGCTGCTCATTTTTATTTAATAACAAAATGTGTGAAAATGTACCTGGTATGTTTAGTGGTTATGAGGATGAGCATCCTTCAAATAATCTCTATGGTGTTTTATGATCAGGTACAATGCCCCTGCCAGCCCAGGAGCAGGCGTTGGTTGATGATCTGCTGTTTGTGCTGGTCGGTGTGGATGGCAGAGACATCACGGCCCAGCCTGTCCTCGGGAGGCAGAATCGCTCCTTCATCGTTGACCCCACCCTTGACATGTCCATCAAGGAGCTGGTCAATAGGATACTACCAGTCGCCTCATACTACTCTACTATAACACGGTGAGTGAACTTTAAAAGGGGAATATTTGGTATTTTTATATTTTATTAGTATCTCCATTAGCTGTTGCTAAAGCAGCAGCTACTCTTCCTGGGATCCACATGAAACATGACATAATACAGAACATTAGACAAGAGCAGCTCAAGGACAGAACTACATACTTTTTTCTTTTAAAGGCACACATAGCCTACTTAACAATACATACACACAAACTATCTAGGTCAAATAGGGGAGAGGTGTTGTGCCGTGAGGTGTTGCTTTATCTGTTTTTAAACCAGGTTTGCTGTTTATTTGAGCAATATGAGATGGAACGGAGTTCCATGCAATAATGGCTATATATAGTACTGTACATTTTCTTGAATTTGTTCTGGATTTGGGGACTGTGAAAAGACCCCTGGTGGCATGTTTCCTATAAAAATAAGAAGTGATGCAGTCAATCTCTCCTCAACTCTTAGCCAAGAGAGACTGGCATGCATAGTATTTATATCAGCCCTCTGATTACAATGAAGAGCAAGATGTGCCGCTCTGTTCTGGGCCAGCTGTAGCTTAACTAGGTCTTTCCTTGTAGCACTCGACCACACGACTGGACAATAATCAAGATTAGACAAAACTAGAGCCTGCAGAACTTTCTTTTTGGAGTGTGGTGTCAAAAAAGCAGACAGACCTCTCCCCATCTTTACAACCATTGAATCTATGTTTTGACCATGACAGTTTACAATCAAAGGTAACGCCAAGTAATTTAGTCTCCTCAACTTGTTCAACAGCCACACCATTCATTACCAGATTCAGCTGAGGTCTAGAACTTAGGGAATGATTTGTACCAAATACAATGCTCTTAGTTTTAGAGTTGTTCAGGACCAGTTTATAACTGGCCACCCATTCCAAAACAGACTGCAACTCTTTGTTAAGGGTTTCAGTGACTTCATTAGCTGTGGTTGCTGATGCGTATATGGTTGAATCATCAGTATACATGGACACACATGCTTTGTTTAATGGCAGTGGCAGGTCATTGGTAAAAATAGAAAAGAGTAGAGGGCCTAGAGAGCTGCCCTGGCCCTGCGGTACACCACACTTTACATGTTTGACATTAGAGAAGCTTCCATTAAAGAAAACCCTTTGAGTTCTATTAGATAGATAGCTCTGAATCCACGATATGGCAGAGGTTGAAAGGCCATAACACATACATTTTTTCAACAACAGGTTATGGTCAATAATATCAAAGGCTGCACTGAAATCTAACAGTACAGCTCCAACAATCTTCTTATTATAAATTTCTTTCAACCAATCAACAGTCATTTGTGTCAGTGCAGTACATGTTGAGTGCCCTTCTCTATAAGCATGCTGAAAGTCTGTTAATTTGTTTACAGAGAAATAGCATCGTATTTGGTCAAACAATTTTTTTCCCAACAGTTTGCTAAGAGCTGGCAGCAAGCTTATAGGTCTGCTGTTAGAACCAGTAAAGGCCGCTTTACCACTCTTGGGTAGCGGAATTACTTTGGCTTCCCTCCAGGCCTGAGGACCAAGACCTTCCTCTAGGCTCAGATTAAAGATGTGACAGATAGGAGTGGCTAAAGAGTCAGCTACCATCCTCAGTAGCTTTCCATCTAAGTTGTCAATGCCAGGAGGTTTGTCATTATTGATTGATAACAATAATTTTCCCACCTCTCCCACACTAACTTTACAAAATTCAAACTTGAAATGTTTTTCTTTGATTATTCGTTTTTTTTATGCATGAATACGATGACTCACTGTTCGTTGTTGCCATTTCCTGCCTATGTTTGCCCACTTTGCCAAAGAAGTAATCATTAAAATAATTGGCAACATCAAATGGTTTAGTGATGAATAAGCCATCTGATTCAATGAAAGATGGAGTTGAATTAGTCTTTCTGCCCATAATTTCATTTAAAGTACTCCAAACTTTATATCATTGATCTTGGCTTCATAATACAGTTTCTTCTTCTTTTTGTTGAGTTTAGTCATAATTTCTCAATTTGCAGTAAGTCAGCCAGTCAGATGTGCAGCCAGATTTATTAGCCACTCCCTTTGCCCCATCTCTTTCAAGCATACAGTTTTTCAATTCCTCATCAATCCATGGAGCCTTAACAGTTCTAACAGTCAGTTTCTTAACAGGTGCATGTTTATCAATAATTGGAAGAAGCAATTTCATAAATTCATCAAGTGCAGCATCTGGATGCTCCTTATTAATCACATCAGACCAACAAATATTTGTAACATCATTCACATAAGTCACAGCAAAATCTTTTGTATGATCTCTTATATACTAAGAGATCATACAAAGAGCTCAGTTGGTAGAACATGGCGCTTGCAACGCCAGGGTTGTGGGTTCGTTTCCCACGGGGGGCCAGTATGAGAATGTATGCACTCACTAACTGTAAGTCGCTCTGGATAAGAGCGTCTGCTAAATGACTTAAAATGTAAAAAGAAAAATACTATTTTAGGCCCAGCTGTTGGAACTTTGGCTTTCCTGGATATAGCCACTATATTGTGATCACTGCATCCAATGGGTACAGATACAGCTTTAGAACAAAGTTCTACAGTATTAGTAGAAATGTGATTGATACATGTGGATGATTTTGTTCCTGTAGTGTTTGTAAACACCCTGGTAGGTTGATTACACCATTGAACCAGATTACAGGCACTGGTTACAGTAAGAAGCTTCCTCTTGAGAGGACAGCTTGATGAAAACCAATCAATATTCAGCTCCCCAAGAAACTAGACCTCTCTGTTTACATCACATACACTATCAAGCATTTCACACATATTATTTAGATACTGACTGTTCGCACTTGGTGGCCTATAGCAACACCTCAAAAGAAAAGGCTGAGATGTGCCAAGTGAACCTGCAACCACAAGACTTCAATAACACTTGAAATAAGATATGCTCTAAGCATTACAGGGATTTGGCTCTGAATATATATATATATATATATATATATATATATATATATATATATATATATATATATATATATATAGTTTACATAGTTGAATGTGCTGACAACAAAATCACACAAAAATGATCAATGGAAATCAAATGTATCAACCCATGGAGGTCTGGATTTGGAGTCACCCTCAAAATTAAAGTGGAAAACCACACTACAGGCTGATCCAACTTTGATGTAATGTCCTTAAAACAAGTCAAAATGAGGCTCAGTACTGTGTGTAGCCTCCACGTGCCTGTATGACCTCCCTACAACGCCTGGGCATGCTCCTGATGAGGTGGCGGATGGTCTCCTGAGGGATCTCCTCCCAGACCTGGACTAAAGCATCCGCCAACTCCTGGACAGTCTGTGGTGCAACGTGGCGTTGGTGGATGGAGCGAGACATGATGTCCCAGATGTGCTCAATTGGATTCAGGTCTGGGGAACGGGCGGTCCATAGCATCAATGCCTTCCTCTTGCAGGAACTGCTGACACACTCCAGCCACATGAGGTCTAGCATTGTCTTGCATTAGGAGGAACCCAGGGCCAACGCACCAGCATACGGTCTCACAAGGGGTCTGAGGATCTCATCTCGGTACCTAATGGCAGTCAGGCTACCTCTGGCGAGCACATGGAGGGCTGTGCGGCCCCCCAAAGAAATGCCAACCCACACCATGACTGACCCACCACCAAACCGGTCATGCTGGAGGATGTTGCAGGCAGCAGAACGTTCTCCACGGCGTCTCCAGACTCTGTCACGTCTGTCACATGTGCTCAGTGTGAACCTGCTTTCATCTGTGAAGAGCACAGGGCGCCAGTGGCGAATTTGCCAATCTTGGTGTTTTCTGGCAAATGCCAAACGTCCTGCACGGTGTTGGGCTGTAAGCACAACCCCCACCTGTGGACATCGGGCCCTCATACCACCCTCATGGAGTCTGTTTCTGACCGTTTGAGCAGACACATGCACATTTGTGGCCTGCTGGAGGTCATTTTGCAGGGCTCTGGCAGTGCTCCTCCTGCTCCTCCTTGCACAAAGGCGGTGGTAGCGGTCCTGCTGCTGGGTTGTTGCCCTCCTACGGCCTCCTCCACGTCTCCTGATGTACTGGCCTGTCTCCTGGTAGCGCCTCCATGCTCTGGACACTACGCTGACAGACACAGCAAACCTTCTTGCCACAGCTCGCATTGATGTGCCATCCTGGATGAGCTGCACTACCTAAGCCACTTGTGTGGGTTGTAGACTCCGTCTCATGCTACCACTAGAGTGAAAGCACCGCCAGCATTCAAAAGTGACCAAAACATCAGCCAGGAAGCATAGGAACTGAGAAGTGGTCTGTGGTCACCACCTGCAAAACCCCTCCTTTATTGGGGGTGTCCATTTGCACAACAGCATGTGAAATTTATTGTCAATCAGTGTTGCTTCCTAAGTGGACAGTTTGATTTCACAGAAGTGTGATTGACTTGGAGTTACATTGTGTTGTTTAAGTGTTCCCTTTATTTTTTTGAGCAGTGTATATTAATATGGGCTATTTTCAGCCCTTTCCTGGGTAGCTTACCAGAGATAGACATAATACTGATAAGAGCAAACAAAGCAAGAGAAAAAAATGTACATTCAGCAGTCCATTAATCAGTTGGTGTGTGTGCGCTGCGGGGTTGAAGCTACTAACCCATAGGCTTTGCCCTCTCATCCCTTCCAAGCTTCTGGGAGTGAGGATAGACAATGAGCCTGTCATAGCGGATGTAAGCAATGTCCCCACGCGCTCTGGTAGCTTTCATGGCTGGGATAAGTTCTTTCCTCTTCTGGCGCACAGCTTCAGTATAGTCCTTGTTGAGGAAGATGTATGTTCCTCTCAAGTTCTTGGCTCTTTCCAGAACAGCTACCTTGTCCTTGAACCTCAGGAACTTGACCACTATTGGCCTGGGCCTGTCACCTGGGCTGGTGGTGGGTTTTCCAGTCCTGTGGGCTTGCTCCACCTCAATCTTCCTGTGGTCCATCTTACATTTCTCAGATCTTTTCCCTCACTTTGTCCTCAGACTCCTTCCAGGTCTCATGTGGAGATTCTGCAATTCCGTCCACAACCATGTTGTTCCGTCTTGATTGTCCCTCTGATTTATCCGTCATTGTTATCATGGATTCACACACACAACTGATGTCCTCTCTCAATGACTTACAGATTGCGTTCATCTTGCCGTTCTCCTGTTTCAACTCATCGAGCTGACCCTGGGAGAACTGCAAACTATTCTTCAGGTCCTGGACCTCTCTGGTCAGATCGTCCATTCTTTTATTAGTTGAATCCACCAGTATTTGGACAAAACATTTGAAGCTATTTTCTTGATGTTGTAGCAACTGCTTGTAGAACAATTTTTTTGTTAGTTTTAAAATCCTTCACGTGTGGTAGAGAGACACCACTGTCCTCAATGGTACTCCCACCGGCTTTGGTCTTTGTCATGGTAGCTAGGAACGTAGGTTATGCTGTTACTCCTCGCAGTTCCAGACAGGGCAGGCCACAGGGAAGATTGAAAACATCAAACAACAGGGATCTAGACAGCTGCTTAACTTAGTTTTTTCTCATTCGCTAGACTCAAATGTAGATCCTTACACCATCTGGAGATGTATCAAAGGAAAATGTGCATTGTGTTGTCAAATATTTTGGTTTGTGTTTTGTCTGGCATAACAGTTTGGCTGTGTTATGTCTGGCAGCTTCACTGAGGAGAAGTCGTCTTTTGAGTACGGCCAGGTGAACCACGCCCTGACGGCAGCCATGAGGACCCTGATGAAGGAGTACCTGATCCTGGTGACCCAGCTGGAGCACCTCCACAGGCAGGGCATGCTCTCCCTGCAGAAGCTCTGGTTCTACATCCAGCCCACCATGAGGACCATGGAGATCCTAGCCTCCATTGGTAAAGCCTTCATGATCATACAATAAAACATCTATATATGATCCATATGCATCATATATTCGATCATACAATATACTGTGGTTGGTAGATATATATATATGCATTGGACATTGTACTTTTTGCACTTTTGGACACACTTGGACATTCAATTGAATTATGCTTAGACTGACCTGTCAGTGGTGTTATGCCGGTCTTGTCTTGTGGTCTATGATGATTTGATGATGATGTGTGTGGTATGGTCATTAAGGTATGTTGTCGTTGTTGCAGACTGCCCAAAGTTAAAAGTACTCATAGTATATAAAAAAAAATCTAAAGGTTATTGATGTCTATTTAATCAGTGGGTTGCATGTTCTGTTTTCAAAGCCTCCTCTGTGGACAAAGGAGACTGCATGGGTGGGTCGACATTGAGCCTCCTTCACGATCGTACCTTCAACTACACTGGAGACAGTCAGGCCCAGGAACTGTGCCTCTACCTCACGAAAGCAGCTAGTGTCCCTTACTTTGAGATACTGGAGAAATGGATCTATAGAGGCATCATCAAGGACCCTTACAGGTACAGTATTTTGTCGCTCAACTCATTTACCACATTTCTTACTTTGAATCACATCAGTACTTTTCTATTGGGTCACAGGCTTGGACATGACTTATGACACAATTTAGATTTTCAGACAATGAGTTAGTTGAGCAAATATTTTGTTAATTATTTTGTCTTCATAGTGAATTCATGGTTGAAGAGCATGAGTTACAGAAAGAGAAGATCCAGGAGGACTACAACGACAAGTATTGGGATCAGCGGTACACAATCGTACAGCACAGAATTCCATCCTTTCTTCAGAAAATGGCAGACAAAATTTTGAGTACAGGTAAGACACATCATACTATTTGGATCAGATTTGTTCAGATCACTTTTTTTGTGCATCCTGACAATGGCCAGTGCAAGTCACTGTGTTCCATATAGTGTAGAAAACCAATAGTATCAATGTCCTGATCATTTGCTGTGGAGTTTTTGTTTTTGAATAATTTTTTCTTCTCATCCTGTTCTATAGGTAAATATCTCAACGTGGTGAGAGAGTGTGGGCGGGACGTGACTTGTCCCGACGCTAAGGAGGTCCTTTACACTCTCAAGGAGAGAGCCTACGTGGAGCAGATAGAAAAATCCTACTACTATGCCAGTAAGGTCCTTCTGGACTTCCTGATGGAGGAGAAGGAGCTGGTCGCACGCCTTAGGTAAATAACAACAAAACTATAAATAGGTCAATAATGTCTGATGGGGTATTTCGAATTTGGTATGTTCTGTTGTATGCTAAGAGATGTATTCTTCCTAGGTCAATCAAGCACTACTTCTTGATGGACAAGGGAGATTTCTTTGTCCATTTCATGGACCTGACGGAAGAGGAGCTCAAAAAGCCAGTGGATGACATTGTCCCTCCCAGACTGGAGGCCTTGCTAGAGCTGGCTCTGAGGATGAGTACTGCTAACACAGACCCATTCAAAGATGACCTGAAGGTAAATATGCTAGAGAACCAGTCTGTAATTAATGCTATTTTGAATACAACACCACCATCTAGTGGTTATAAAGGAGAGGAGCCTAATTCCTTATTCGTTCAGATGTATAAATGGTTTAGTACAAATACTATGTTTTGTACACAGTATGTTTTGAAATATTATTTCATGCATGCATTATGATGAATGAATAGGCTCAAGTAACCTTTGCAAAATAAGTACTTGAAGAAAGTTCTCTTTGTCTGAGCATGTAGCTTACAGTACTTGAAGAAAGTTTGAGAGACTGACGGTCTGGGTTTGGTAGTGCTCTAGTTCGCCCTGTCATAATAAGCAACAGAGGACATGGAAATCGTATTACAGTATATCCCAGAGAAATATAAGTGCAGTCAATGTAAGTAACCTAATGTATGTTTCTTTAACTGTTAACTCGGAGTGTATTGTCAGCAATAATCACATGCCCATAGAATTGATTTCTACTGTTTGCACTGAAACTGTCTGCCTTAGGAAGAAGCAGTGGCGGTTCTAGACACATTTTACTAGGGGGGCCAAGGAGGGGCCAGTGTTTAATCAGGGGGGCACACATAAAAAAACTGGCAACACATGATATTCAAAGATTATAAACTTTATTTTACTTTAAAATCATATGACATTTATTATAACACGTATTTTGTACAAGAGTGCAGATGCAAGAGAGATAGTGCCATAAAAATGAAAAAAAAAAAAAAAAAAAAAAAAGTACAGGGTACAAATACAGGGTTCATATTCAATGTGAACAAAACTCCAGGATACAACAAAGGGTACAACAATGTGCCATTTCCTATTTATGGAAGCCCCACTACTGTGGACAGTTGATTCCACATTTTGTTTTAAGAAAGAAAACTTTCTGAGTGATTTATAAACAAAACACACTACCCTGTATCCATTTAGGTAAAATAAACCAAATCAGAAAAGAAATTCAATTCAAAGAGGCTTTACTAGCATGACCATATTGACATACAGTATTGCTAAAGCACATAAACAGGGAAACGTGTTACACATTAACATCCAGTAGTCCAATAGGATGCAGACAATAAACATTAAGTTAACATTCGTTTAAAAGCAACAATCATGTCAACACAATGTAGCAATATGAACAACACTGATGGATATCAGCAACAACATGAAAACAAGAATATTACAGGTGTCTGTGTGTGTGTGTCTGTGTCTTTGTGTACTTCACTGTCAGTTGATGAGCAGGTGTACAAAAAAAGGCTTTACAACATATATGGGCAAGTCCATTTAGGACAGCACATTTCCACCATAGTTCACATTAGGAAAAAATGACAGCATGAATGCTCACTAAACAAACATATACTACATATACCTTTTTATACACATTTTTTTTCAGTAATTTTTTAAGAGTGAAAGGGAAGTAAGCAATCGCTCATCATAGGATCATACATATTTCAGTTACAATATTAGTTACAATATTAGTGTTAGTTAGATCATCATGTCAAAGCTGGACCTGCAAAGTCTGAACGATTTCTTGCTTTGCTTGTTTTCAAAAGGAAAAATCATAGTTGGTAAAAAATAAAATAAACTTTTGTTGAAAGGTATCACACTGTATAATTTACAAATATCTAAAGAGGTTTAGTGGATGCCATAAAACATCTGTGGAGCTTGAAGATTTGTAGTACATAGATGTTTGGCAGAGATAATTCAAAAGAATAAAATCATAAACTCTATCTATCTATCGAGAGAGAGAGAGAGAGAGAGAGAGAGAGAGAGAGAGAGAGAGAGAAGTGTTTCCTTAGAGCAGTACATGCAGCAATCACTTAATGGAGTGATGTCATAATGGGCCACAAAACTTTGGGGATGTGGATGGAAAGTTACAGGCAGGAGAGGGGAACCAACAGAAGCAGGTCTTGAGACATGAGTTTGCCCCTTTTTGAAAACCTCTTGAGAGAGGATTGGTGGGATATATATACATACATACAAACATACATACACTCTAGTAGTGTGTGGAACTACTGGTACTGTGAGGAAAAAAAGATAGATGATGTAAAATGAAAAATAAAACAAGCTTCAGCTTCTTAAGACACGGTGGGTTCATCTAAGTAGACACATGTAACTTCATGTGGACACCAGACTGTCTTTGTCTACACATCTAACTTCATATGGACCCCAGACTCTTTGTCTACACATGTAACTTCATATGGGCACCAGACTGTCTCTGTCTACACATGTAACTTCATATGGACACCAGACTGTCTTTGTTTACACATTTAACTTCATATGGGCACCAGACTGTCTCTGTCTACACATGTAACTTCATATGGACACCAGACTGTCTTTGTTTACACATTTAACTTCATATGGGCACCAGACTGTCTCTGTCTACACATGTAACTTCATATGGACACCAGACTGTCTCTGTCTACACATGTAACTTCATATGGACACCAGACTCTTTGTCTACACACGTAACTTCATGTGGACACCAGACTAACTCCATTCATTTTACCGGTGGTATTGAGAACAGATAAACCCACCGTGTCTTAAGAAGCTCAAGCTTGTTGTTTTATTGTTCATTATATATCTTTTTCCTCACAGCGGCACTCATACGCTACTAGCGTATATATCATATAGATACACTACAGCAACAGGATATGGCGGTTGTGCTGTCTGGCAAAACGGTCCACAAATACATCAAGATCCAGAGCCTTGGCCCTTCTGGACTCTATGCTCAGGACACCAAGATCACTGAGTCTCTCATCACTAGTGGTGGACCGCAGGAAGGTTTTTATCAGTTTCAGTGTGGAGAAACTGTGTTCGCAAGAGGCTGAGCTTACAGGAAGGGTTACAGCAATCTTGCACAGTCTAAAGAGCTCAAAGAAAACTTCCCTGTATGGCTCAATAAAACAAACCAGCTCAACTGTACTGCATGGCTTTTTGACTTCACCACTCTGTATTTTTCTGTCCAAAACTCTCTTAAATTGATGGAGCTCATGCCCTAAATCATCAATGTCTGCATTATACAAACGGCCAAATGAAAAAACATTGCTCTCCTTTAAAAAGGTATCACTCTGGGGACTGAGAGACTGTATGCTTCTCATGAGCTCACAGTTTGTATTGGAGAAACGTCTGTTCAACTCATTGAGCATGCTGTCAATTACAGGATAGAAAAATGATGTGAGAAACATATCTTTGTCACGTTCTACCTCCCTCTGACCAACAGTGCTTAGCGTGCAGTAGCCACTGAGTCTAGAGCTCAGCATTTTCTGACGTTTCGCCACTGACCTTGTTGCAGAATCACACTGCTCACAAATATTCAATGCTTCATCCCACAACTCATCAAAGAAAGACTCCTGCCTGTGGTCTTTCAATGTCAGGACTAAAGCATTTACTAAGTCAACAGCACTTGACAGATCAACAGTTTGTGACTGTAACATGTCAGACAATAGCTTTGTCTCCCCAAACAACTTACGCAGAGTAACAAGATGCACAACAAATTCTAGGTCAATTTGAGCAAGAAGACCTCGGGCCTCAACAGTTCTTTCACCATGACGTTCTTGAGCAATCTCTTGCAGTAGTCGTTTAAGGGCAGGTAGAGTGTCCATGATATTACGTAGGGCTAGAAATCGGCATGACCAACGTGTGTCGCTTAAACGTTGCAGCTCTCTGGTTCTGCCATACATTTCTCTTTGGAGAGACAGCCATTTTGGGTGCACATATGAGGAAGAAGTAAACATATAAAGACTCTGTAACAAAGAAAAAAACTCCTCCGTTTCTGGGACACTTTTGACTACATCAACTAACACTAAATTCAGACAATGAGCACTACAATGGACGTAGAAGGCAAATTTAGCCTGTTCTTTGATCCTTGCCTGAACCCCTGAATGCTTACCGCTCATAACGGCAGCGCCATCGTACGCTTGGCCTACGAGGTTATTTTTGTAGTCCAGGCCATAACGTTCCAGTAAGTGTACTATTTTTCCAGTAAGCCCTGCTGCATCTAACCTCTCTGCAGATTCAAAATGGAGAAAACTCTCCTTAATGGCCCCATTGTAATAGTACCTGAGTGTGAAGGACATCTGTTCTTTTTTTGAAATATCCTTTGTTTCATCTGCCATGACGCTAAAAACCTCACTTTTCTTCACTTCTTCTATGATTTCAGACCGAACCATTTCTGCCAAACAACCCAAAACCTCATTCTGGATGATCTTGCTTGTGTACTTTGCATTGTGAATGGAAGTTAATCTTCTCTTAACAAGTTGGTCGTGGTTAGCAACTGTGTTAAGAATTTCCCTAAAGTTTCCTTTGTTAGTGGACCCTTCAGATTCATCATGTCCTCTTTGTGCTATGTTTTGTGTAGCTGTAAGCAACAGCACTTCCCCAACTGTTTTAATGTATGCCTGATTTTCTTGTACTTGTTTAGTGTGTTCTTTGTCAAGGAGATCTGTTAGTGTTGCGTCAGTTCTAACAGCTCTTTGATAATCCCTCCATGCGATCATTGCACACTTGTGTCGTTCAGACTTTGCATGTAGTGAAAACCCTGCATTTCTCATAGTTGCCTTTTTCCAGTTTGTAAAACCAGGTGTTGAAACAAAAACGGTGTCTGGGGCATTTGGTGTGCTAAAATGTCTACATGCATAGCAACATGTAGAGTCCGTCATTACAGAATACTCAAGCCATGGATGAGTAGTGTACCAGTTTGGTCTGAAGCTTCGTCTTCTGTCCCCCATCAGTGTGGTTGGGAATATCTTCAAGTTCGGCTGTACTGGTACGTCATACTTAGACTTGCTGATATCTGAAGAAGATGGACAGTAAACATAGGGCACAACTACAACATTTATTTACTGTATATCTGCATGTATTTCAAAATGTAGGCAAAGTATTTACTTAAAAAAAAAAACAGAGCCATATTGACACAAAAAAGAATTAACAGCAGAAAGCAGCATTTTAAGGACACCCAGCAGGCCTACCATTACATTGTAATTGCATTGCTTTGCAAATAGTAAGAACCTTCCTCATCACAAACCTGATGGTGCAGTACTTGATCCACATGGATCCACTTGCTGTCCCTCTGGCTGTTCATCTCTCTGTCCCTGTATGCTTTCTTCTTC